GTGATGCTTAACCTCTCTAATAGACCTTTTTAGCTTGTATGTTTTGTTTTCTCAATACAGGTCATGTGGTCACACTCTTGAGAATTGTTTCTTTCAAATTTCGTCTTGTTCACGTGCATATGTACGCACAAAAGTGTCAAGTTCCCCTGGGACCTCTATTGGGAAAACAAAACAAACAAGCTGAAGAGGTCTATACCTCGCAATCCAGTGCAACACGAAAACCCGGGGGTACTCAACCATTTATATACCATTTTAATCGCTGTAAATGTACTGTCTTTTAAATAAGAATTAATCACAAAATAGAACGTTTCCCGACGTTTTCAAGCCATAAAATTCATGTTAGCCCTTTTGGGCCCTTTGACAGACTCAAATGACAGATTTCTCTATCCTTTTATATACTTCAACCAGTGAAATCCCTGCCCTTTCCTATACCTGAAGCCTGAAAAAGGTACCCCTTTCGGGCGGAGCCTCCCCGTCGGGTATAGGCCATCATAAGGATTACCCCCCCCCGGTACAAAAAGTCGCCTTAATCAAGAACAATAATTCATCTTTTTAAAATCATTATTCTTTGTCCCCATGGAGTAAATGACCGCTTTTCATTCAGCTAGATATACCTTATTCACGATACCCGCCAGCCCCGGGGACGAGGTTGTTAGTTTCTCAGGAGGCAAACAAGTATAAAAAATTGCCAGTGGAAGAAATCGCGGTTGAGTTTGTTTATCCTAGACAACAGGAAATGAAGACCTTTTCATCTTAAAGACGATAATGTCAAAATATGGGTGGAAGTGATCATTGTTACTTTACAATATGCACTAGCGACTGTAAATGTCCCAATGTCAAACGGTAATGACGTAAATCTTGCCAACACTTTGAGTAACTATAAAATCGTCGTCTCGTTTGATAGAATAAACAAACTCGGCCGCGATTACTCGTATTGGCAAATTTTGTCACTTGTTTGCTCCTTGAAATACCACGTGACATAGCTTTCATCCCATCGATCTTAGAGCGCGTGCAAAGATGGCGGGTATCGTGAATAAGGTCTATTGTTCTTGTTAAACCACACACAGCCCATCATTCCTTTGCTCTGATAAACTGGGGTCGAAAAGTTAATTTTTAAATCTCTTTACGGTCACATTGAATTTGTCAACTCAGTTGATGAAAGCATTTCACCCCACCGACGCAGCACTAAAGTTGAATTTGAATTTGAATCTAATTACTTTATTCATCGTTTCTAAATATCCTTGGAAGTCTCTTCAGGGGCAAAAAATGATAAAAGTGTGGATGCTCGACTTCGCCTGCCACGGACGAAGACTTCCAGCTTTGAACTTCAGCTACAGCTGCAACGTGGGACGAGACGAGGGGAGGATGGTTTCCCAGCAGTCAAACGAGTTATGAAAACCCTAAGCAAAGTAAATCAAAACTGGGGTTGCTGCTTCACTGTGAACAATTACCAATCGCTGCTGATTTTGCTGAACTTCCTGAAAGCCTACAAAAAAGTACTTACTGTTTAAAAACAAAAACGGCTCTGTTATCGTTGCAGTTAACTTGTCATTTCGTGCATCGTTTCTCTGTGTCAACATATTTAGTAGAGGTGACAACTTAACTGTAAATAAAATCCCCGCAAATAAAACTTTTTGGAAAACGCGCTTAGATGTCTGACCAGGTGGAGGTAGAAGTTGTCAGTGGTTTGCGAATTTGCTTTCCTCTTGGAAACCCCGAAACTCAGTAGCTTATTACAATGAAATAGCCCCCGGTTATTAAAGTGCTGCCAAACCCAGAACAAATCTAGTAAAAATAGCAATAATTATTAGTACGATGTCTAATTAACCAGGCAAGATGATTTTGCCGGCATAAAAATAATCTTATCGGTATTTTTTCTAACACGAAGCTCATAGAATAGTGCCGCCATAACATTATATAACGAACCATGTGTAATTTACATGTTTATTCATTTATTTAGATTAGACAATTTTGGCGGAGTCACTTCAACCATAGTTAGTAACTAACTATGCCTCAACAGCATGACCCCAATTACTGCGAGCCCCTAACAGTTCCCTATCCTCACGACAGACTACCCCTCCCCTCAGGAAAAATCCGATTTTTCCTGAGCGGAGGGGGTTCTGTACACAGGCTACATGAGAGATAGACCACACCACTGGTGGGGTCTGCTTTTTCTACTCTTTTCGAATACCAATGAGGGTTCTGTTACGTTGTCCCTTCCAAATGTTAAGAAAGGATGAAGGAGACAAGGCTAACGGCTTAGTGTCACCTCTCAATGACGCGATCATCTGAGACATCTAAGACAAGATCTTAAACGCTTTATCGTGTACTATTGAGTCATGGATGCTCTTGGGAGGATTACTAAGCTCATAAGAACTTGAAGTAGCAGTTTGTTGACGTCACCAGCGTGCTCAATGGGAATATGAAGCACACTGATACTATCGAATAACAATTCAATCAGCTACACGAATATTCCAGCTATGTTATAATTTCAAAATTTTATGGTAATTACTTTCAAAAATTCTTTTAAGTCAACTTTAGCCTTGTGGACTCTCGCAATAACAGACACCTCGATAATACGGACAGTAACTAAATCACATGCAAAAATAAATTACAGATGTCGGACTAAAAAAAACTCCCGTTATTACGGACTCTCACTTATAAGATCGACCGTGACTAACCGGACGTCCCTACAGTGTACGCTATAAAGGGAGTTGACTGTCCTTAAAACCGATCTACACTACACATTTGAAATTCGAAGTACGTCCTCTGTTACAAGAGTTTTAACCGACGTTTCGGCAATGCCGCCTTCTTCGGGGGACAAAACGAATATACACCACTTAAAGGTTTCCCTTGGAAAAGTTCGTTAAATTACGTAGCTCACGTGCGCGATTACATTTTTAACTATTTCGATCTTTTTAAGGTGGCTCCGTAATTAATACAAGAGCATTTAGCTGTGACAAATTTTCCGTCATAACTTTTTGGTTTTTAACGTGATGGCTGCGAAACTTTGCAAAGAACAACAGATATCATTAGGCAATAATTCGAAATATTCCGATTTCACTGATGGTAAATATTTGTCGAGAAATTAGCGCTTAAAAGGACCCTACTGTTCAAAGAAAATCGCGTCTAGTAAAAAATTTTGCTGATATTTTTTTACTGAAATTTCTAATCGGCTTTAATTGATATAATAAATATGCCAGAGGAATTTCAGAAAAATCGTTGGAGCAGAAGTCCGAAACTAAAAGTCGCTCAAAATTCAGCTGTGAAATTGTTTTGGAATTTCAAAAATAAATTACCATCAGCGAGAAGGGCCACCAGTTTGAATTTTCGGGACAAGTAAATTCAGTGTTTGCTAATTCTGAAAACAAAGCCGATTGCCTATCGTGCTATTCTTTAAAAAGGTACTTTTCAGTTTTTAAGCACTATAAATTGCTCCAAAACTTTGCTCTGACGTCGAATGACTTGTTGTCCTTGTTCCTCGACATTTTTAAAATATCCCTTGGCAGTTTTGGTTCAAACTCCTGCTGCACATTTTGATGTATTGCAATGCATCCTCAACAGCTTTTCCTGCTGTACGTTGTTTCCAATTCAGGAAAAAAGGTATTGGGATTGTAAGCTACCTTGTATCAAAGCTCAGATAGAACTGTCCAGCACCTTTGTTTATGACCAGAAAATGAGCTCGAGCAGCACTTCTGCGAGGAATTCGCACCTCAGCCAGGTGGGGACGAATGACAATGATGCCCATGTCTGTGAACCGATCTGTATAAACATGTATTGCAGAGCAAAACATAATAATCAAGAAAAAAACCCATTCATTGAGGGAAGGAGGACAAAAATTCCAGGGTTGTAAATTTATTCACAGGCAGTATTTTTGCGATAATTTTATTTTGGACTGTGATGTTATTCGGTTCACAGGCATGGTCATCGATGTCGTTCGTCCCCCCTGTGTGAGGTGCGAATTCCACGCAGAACTGCCGCTCGTGCTCATTTTGTAGTCATAAACAAAGGTGCTGGACAGTTCTATCTGAGCTCTGGTACGAGGTAGCGTCCAATCTCAATACTTTTTTCCTGAGTTGGAAGCAACGAACAGCAGTAAAAGTCGTTGAAAATGCATTGCAATACATCAAAATGTATGCAGCAGGAGTTTGAACCAAAACTGCCATGGTATATTTTAAAAATGTCGAAGAACAAGTAATTCTACCTCAGAGCAAGGTTTGGAGCAATTTATAGTGCTTCTACAACTAAACAGTACCTTTTAAAGAATAGCACGATAGGCAATCGGCTTTTGTTTTAAGAATTAGAAAACGTTGAATTTACTTGTCACGAAAATTCAAACTGGTGGCTCCTTCTACCCGATAGTAATTTATTTTTGAAATTCCAAAACAATTTCACAGCTGAATTTTGAGCGACTTTTAGTTTCGGACTTCTGCTCCAATGATTTTTCTGAAATTCCTCTGGCATATTTATTATATCAATTAAAGCCGATACCAGAAATTTCAGTAAAAAATATCAGCAAAAGTTTTTACTAGACGCGATTTTCTTTGAACAGTAGGGTCCTTTAAAGCGCTAATTTCTCAAGAAATATTTACCATCAATGAAATCGGAATATTTCGTGTTATTGCCGAATGATATCTGTTGTTCTTTGCAAAGTTTCGCAGCCATCGCGTTAAAAACCAAAAAGTTATGACGGAAAATTTGTCACAGCTAAATGCTCTTGTATTAATTACGGAGCCACCTTAACGGTGTATATTTTTGCACCCTGAAGAAGGCAGCAGTGCCAAAACGTCGGTTAAAGCTCTTGTAACAGCGTCGATTTTACAATTTTCAAATTAACATTGAGGATTATAGTTACTCTCGTCAATTTTGTTATTAATCTTGTACAAACTAGTTTAATGTTAGCTTAATAGGAGTAAACTCTTCTCTTTTACGGACTAAACAGCCGGGCCTTTCTCAAAAATACAACTCTGAAAAATCTTAATATTCAAGCCATTACGCAGTTATTTGTTCTTGAAGATGTAGTCGCCTTTTTTTTTGTGGTGCCTCACTGCCAGGGTTTTCCTTTGTTCAGCTTCCTCTTCTTCCTCTATTTCCTCTGTTGTATATGTAGACGAGCGGGTGGTTTGCCTCAGGTTTTTCTCTGATTTGCGATGAGACTCTGTGAGTTCTTCAGCTTTATTCTTTAAGCGTTTCAGTCTTCTGGCATCAGTCGCATCGGCTTCAACCACATTAACATTAGCTCCATGGTCAATGCGCTTTTTCACAGCTTGCGCGTTACCATATTTCACTGTCATTTGAAGAGGAGTTCTGCCTTCTGCGTCACGGATGTCTATATTTTGAGCCCCATACGTCACCAGGAGATCGATTATCTCACCGTTAAATATATAAGTTTCACGAACTAATAAGTGAAGCGGTGTATATCCATGATTATCTTGAATATTTACATCCGCGTTGTGTTCAAGTAACAATCTAAAGAGGTTTTCGTTACCCTCTCTGGCACACCAGTGCAAGGGTGTACATCCCAGGCTATCTTGAATATTTACATCCGCGTTGTGTTCAAGTAACAATCTACAGAGGTTTTCGTTACCCTCTCTGGCACACCATTGCAAGGGTGTATCTCCAAAATAATCTTTCATATTTACATCCGCGTTGTGTTCAAGTAACAATCTACAGAGGTTTTCGTTACCCTGTCTGACACACCAGCGCAAGGGTGTTTCTCCAGCATAATCTTTCATATTTACATCCGCGTTGTGTTCAAGTAACAATCTAAAGAGGTTTTCGTTACCCTGTCTGACACACCAGCGCAAGGGTGTTTCTCCAGCATAATCTTGAATATTTACATCCGCGTTGTGTTCAAGTAACAATCTACAGAGGTTTTCGTTACCCTCTCTGACACACCAGTGCAAGGGTGTATATCCCAGTCTATCTTGAATATTTACATCCGCGTTGTGTTCAAGTAACAATCTACAGAGGTTTTCGTTAACCTGTCTGACACACCAGCGCAAGGGTGTTTCTCCAGCATAATCTTTCATATTTACATCCGCGTTGTGTTCAAGTAACAATCTAAAGAGGTTTTCGTTACCCTGTCTGACACACCAGCGCAAGGGTGTTTCTCCAGCATAATCTTTCATATTTACATCCGCGGTGTGTTCAAGTAACAATCTAAAGAGGTTTTCGTTACCCTCTCTGACACACCAACGCAAGGGTGTATCTCCAGAATAATCTTTCATATTTACATCTGCGTTATGTTCAAGAAACAATCTGACGAGGATTTCGTCATTTCTCCGGACTGACAGGAACATTGGTGTATCTTTATCTTTATCATGAATATTTACATCCACTTTGTTTGCAAGTAATAATCTGATGAGATTTTCGTGATTTTTTTTGACTGATAAGTGCAGTGCTGTGAACCCATTACTAATCTGTACATTTACATCAGCTCCATGTCTTACAAGCAAGTACGCTGCCATGTAGTTGTTCCACTCAGCTGCTAATATTAAAGGAGTTTCTTTTCCCTCTTTTCTTTGAGCATTAACGTCTGCTCCAAGATCAATAAGGGTCTCAATGAACTGACTTGAGGATGAACGACTCGCCCTCAGCAAAGCTGTCCAATCATTGTTTGACCCAGGGGCATTGATATCTACACCGTCATTTAATACAAACTCAACTGCCTGTTCCACATCATCATGGCATGTGGCCCACTGCAGTTCAGTCAGTCTACTGTTGTCCTTAGCCCACTCGTTATAAAGTCTTTCGATTCTATGATGACTTGGTTTTCTTCTCTTTATAAGAGATAAGATGTCAACTGCTGTCTTCCCTGGAAAATGTTTAGCGTTATTTCCCGTTGTTACAAGTTCCATCTCTTCTACAAAGTTATCAAGAAGGCCATGAGCATTTAAAACAATGTTGTAGTCTCCTTCTAAGACAGCAGCCTGGAGCAGATTAAATCCAGATTGTTTATCGACTTGCAAGAAAGCTTTTCTCGAGAGTTTCCTTAGACTGACCTATAATAAAAATGATACGTTCATGAGCGAAAATAATAAAGATGGTTTTCATTAGACTCTAATGCTTAAAAGTACCTTTTTGCAATATAACCGATTACTGCGCTTTTCATAAACACGCAAATTCTGAAGTTCAAAAGTCAACTGACGTTTGCGTTTTTCGCTGCCTTAATATTCTTAGCGGTCCTCTTAGGAAACAGACGTTTACTTCAATGGGTTCAAAAGGTCATGGTCTGTGATTTGTGATTGGTGGATTTCGATCCGTTTGGTGTATATTTCTCAGCCTCGTTCCCAGTCGTCCTCGGCTATTTCGGATGAGCTTGTCTGGAAAATTCGCCGAGGACTATCGCACTCGGTTCCAAGCCTCCTCTGGTAACTCGGATAGCGCGAACTGGCCTGGGTACGAGGCTGTATATTTCTGTGATTCAAGGTTCGTTGCTTGTGATCGGAATTATGGTTGACGGCAGCGAAAAACATAATTGTGAAGGCGGCTTTTGAACTTCAGAGTTAGAGTTCGCGTGTTTTTGAAAAACGTAGTGATGGTGTTCCCGTGTATTGCAAATAAACACTTTTTAATTTGAATTAGGTTTAAAAAATTTCAATTTGAATTTAATCGATTTTCATTGTATGCACGAGGAGAGCAGCGGGGAAGGACTAGTTTGGATGGAAGAACCATACGAGCAACTCCTGACTCAACTGAAATATAGCTTACAATGGAAAAAAAAAAGAAGAAAAAACAAGTTGTCACAAAAAGTAACACATATAAACTGATAATTATGATTTAAGACTACGCTGTGATTTTATGCCCAGGTAACACATGGGCGATAAGAATCAACCTCCCTAATCTTATTTTTTGTAGCCTGCGAGCAAGCTGTCCGGGGGGCGCTCTGGCGGCAGGGTGGGAAAAGGAAGGAGAGCTTGCAACTACGTCTCTGGAATTTGAATTCCACCTCCAATTTCCCTGTGGCTCCCCGTAGATTGAGCTGTCAGATTTCCGCCAATAAGCGCGAAGCGGAAACGAGCGCGAATGTAAACAATATTCAAAAACAAGTGCCAAGGGCAATGACGTCATTAGGAATGTCATCTCCGCCAATCAGCATTTCGCATCGAAAATTTCGATGCAGATATTCAAATTCCAGAGACGTAGTTGCAAGCTCTTCTTCCATTGCCGCCCAGCCGCCAGAGTGCTCCGGAGAGCTTGCTCGCAGGCTATTTTTTTTTGTAAAAATCTCCGCAACGTTTTTTTATGAAAGACAGGCTTAGGTCTTCAGTTCTAAGGTTCCCGGGTAAGTAATTCCATAAATGACAACAATATAAGGTATCTAAAAGATAGAAGCGACTCGTACGATGATGAAAAGGTAACGTTAAACAAATTAGGTAGAACTCCATCTGAAAGACGACGTTTGGCAAAATGGATTAGGGAAGACTGACAAAATCTGATATCTTACTGGTTGATGAACACTTGGCCTAGCATCATTCTTGAGAAGCAACTGCACTATGGAGTGGTGGTTTTGACGTTCAGCTTTTTGCAGAGGTGTACGTTGAAACTAAAAACATTTAAGCAGAGTATCATGCGTTGCTTACCACAGCCCTGGACATACGTTTTGTAGCGTGAGCTAAATTAATTGCTGTGTAACAAAATCTAATGACGACCTTTAAGCATAAAACGTCTCCTCCCAGAGGCTATGATTTGCTTAATAAACCTTTTGCTTTTTTGCCGTTCTCGTTCACGTCGCCATCGTTGTTGCTTACGCTCGCTATCATTGAAGTTATGAATATATGATTTTCATATTTTCATAACTTCATCATCATCCTTTCACGGGTTTATAACGAACCAATTCAACGACCTGCTCCCAGTTGGCTTGTTAGCTTAATTGGTAGAGCCCTGCACCGGTATCACAGAGGTCAAGGGTTCGAATCCCGTACAAGCCTGAGTTTTTTCAGGCTTTCTTTTTGCAACTGCAAAAAATGCGTATATAACTGCGATGATCTTCCTTCATATAATGCTCCCTATCATTGTTCAACGGAAAAAAACTCACTAACTTACCCTGTCTTCAGCTTTGACGTTCGCACCATGCTCTAGTAACAACCGGACAACAGATTCCTGTCCATACCAACAGGCAAGATGAAGAGGAGTCAGAGAAAACAACAGAAATAGGGAGGGGAAAAACAATTAGAAAAGGGTGAAAGAAGTCAGCTTGTCCAGCAATAATGATGGTCATGCATAAAATACAACTAGAGGCTTTTATTGAACTATATACATGAAAAAATTTCTCGATTGTGATTGGCTAAGAGAAATGCAGTTTTTAGGTAACAAGGTGCAGAAAAAAAGGTAATTGAGTGCAGAAAAAAGATAATTAAGTGCAGAAAAGAGTAACAAACGTGACATTCTGATTGGTTAATAAACAAAGGAAATCACTGAGAGCCAATCAAATGCGCCATGTAAATGGCGCAAAATTTGGATCCGCTTCTGACCAATTTCGAGCAAAAACTGCAATGGTTGGCGTTTGTAGTACATTTGCTTTTGCGACCGAAACAACTGTAGAGGAGCTAATAAAAAAACTGCTCTAAAAACGAAAACACTGCGAAAAGCACTGGTTTTTGGCTCCTGTTTGGAAGAATTGGTGCGTAGATAATGAAACTACTGATGAAATAGAAAATTATGAGCCGGCTGAGCTTAACACTTTGCTCGAGCATTTCTTCGCCAAAGTAAACAATAAAAAAGGTGAAGATTACGAGCCAGAAAGCCTTAAAGTAATGATGGCATCGCTTGATAGACACTTAGAGAACAAAGGCTGCACCCGGTCTATTGTACGTGACTGGGAATTTAGGGCCTGTTTACATGGAGGTGGGGGACCCCAGGTAGGTGAGGTAACCCGCTTAGGTGGGGTAACCCGCCTGTCCATATAATCTCTCATTTTCATTTGATCACGTTTACATGATAGGTGGGGTGACCCGCCAAGGCAGGTAGCCCGGTCTACCAGACCGGGTTACCCTCTCAGCCGGGGTCACAATTTGTCATGTAAACGTTTCAAGGTGGGGTAACCCGCCTGGCCGGGGTCGGATTCGTGATACATCAAATTCGCGCAAAATTCACTTTCGCGGTGTCTTTGCATTATGATTAAAGTTAACAATAGAAAGCTATTGCACTGACGGGTTGCAGCAAGAGCAACAAGTGAGTGAAGAAGTGCATTAATCGCCAAAACTCGTGGTTTGCCAGCATTTTTCTTGTTTACGTGCTTAGCGACCATTCAGTAATCTTGAGAAAGTGCACCCCGGGAAGGCGGGGTTGTAAGGATTGCATGTAAAGGAGGGTTATTTTTTTACCTCACCTAAGCGGGTTACCTCACCTACCTGGGGTCCCCCACCTCCATGTAAACAGGCCCTTAGTTCGTCCAAAGAGGTGTTGGAGGACAAAGCGAAACATCTTCGCTTGGCTGGCCGTGGTAAGCGCCCAAACAAAGCTCGGCAAGTATCAGAGGAGGAAGAAGAAATTCTCTGGAAGAGCGGAAAACTCGAGGTAATAACCCAGAATCTTTAATTCAAACAGATTGATCAATTCTATGAACTGTTCAGCCCGTTTCTGCAACTTGCAAACTTTAAAAACATCGAGCAAAATGTTGTTTTGACTGTGTGTGATGATATTTGCAGCATTTGAATAATTTATTTTTGCACGTAGTTTACGCGTGTTGACTCCCTGTCAAAGTGATTTTAAACCTATCTCGCAATTTTTTCATGAATGTCATTAATAAGAAATCACATGATTTTTCTCGTGCAATTTGGAATAAATAAGCACTCGTAAATTTTTTCAAAGACCACAAATTGCACTCGCCCTACGGGCTTGTGCAATTTTGTCAGCCTTTGAAAAAATCTACTCGTGCTTATTTATTCCAAATTGCACTCGAAATCAGGTGATTACCCAAGTATAACGCTAAAACTGAGCCCAAATGCAAAGTTTACAGGTCTTTTTCCAGTACATTAAAAAAAACTGCTTATTGATAAACAAAGTTATAACATTTTCAGGTGGGTAAAACGAGCAAACAAGCAGACAAACAAACAGACAAATGAAAAAATCGTATTCATTTTCTGCCTCGCCTGAATCTAAATTATTTTACGGTTTGTCATTTCTCCCCAAGTTCAAATTTTCCATCGCTATCCATCATTACAGACTCGTATATTAAAGTAGTTTGAAAAAGATCGTCTGGATTAGTGAAGTACCGAATAGGTCTGTTGGTGACAGGAATTGACGTTTGCTACAGCCTGTTTCAATGCGGATTATCATGATTAATAAATCATTTTGATTTCCTGCCTCGCCTAAATGTAAATTATTTCACGGCGGATTAGTCCCCCCCCCCCCGCCACCCCCCAACAAGTTCAAAGTCTCCATAACTCTTCATCGTTACAGACTCGTATATCAAAGTAGTTTGAATATGATGGTCTGGGTGAGTGAAGTTCCGAATAGGTCTGTTGTGTCGAAGCCGCATTATCAGGAGTTTTTCTTAAGTCTTATGTTGACTTCTGCATAGATGGTGAAAACGTCAGTGTGGTCAGCAGTTCTGTTCAGAGCTACACTTACTCGACATACTAATGACAGGATTCATGGGTTCAAACCAGTTACAACATCAAGAACTTTTTGTATTTAGCTACTCCCTGATGAATTTAAGAAGAAACGCTATCAGACAAGCAAAACACTCGGTTAAAGAACATGGCCTTAAATACTGCATTGTAGGGCCGGGTAAACGGTTTACTCTTGCCTAATAGGGTACTTTTGGAAGAAAATTGCCCAAAGTCTTCCATGAAGTCTTCCTGAGAACTTTTTCGTGCCTATTTTTAAAAAGACACGGAAAATGAAGCCTATT